ATGTTGACCTTTTCATCTTTGCTCTTGGCAAAATTCATTCAATATTTGTTGCTCCTTACTTAACTGTAGAAGACACTGCAAACAAAGTTGCAGCGTCACAACAGGGAGGCAATCATGCATTTATTCACATGTGCTGCAAAGAGGAGGATGGTGATATGCATTTCAGTCAATATGCCTTTTAGTTGCCCATTATAAATGGCAAGGCTATTCAATGTGCGATGGTGCTTGCGAAGAGTAGTGGTGTGTGAACATCTCCATCATCAGCATCCAGCCTGCCTTGAAACCCATTTGGGCAATTTGACCATTTCCTTCGAGTGCTTTTAAAACCACAGTGTTATGTTCAAGCATTTTAGAGGAAGATCTGAAATAAATATATGGTGCTTCAGCTCCCTTCCCTGCCCGAGTGTCTGCAAGGGAACAGGAGAAACAATTGTTCTGGATGAGCCATAATCCTTGGATTTCCAATTAAAGAAGAAAAAAGAACAAGTCTCAATTTGTTGTATGCTCCAAGTTTCAAGGGGAAAGATGTAGGTACAATTCTATTTATTTTGTAAGAAACTAGTCTACTCCTGTCTTTCAGTGTTTTTAGCTGATGATTCACATTTAGGAATCAGAGCTAGCTAATTAGACAGAAATAAAGTTAGAGTGCTACATCTATTGTCTGGAGAAGGAACTTGGTTTATTTTTAAGCCATTTGCTGCTCTTCTGGGGTGGAGAAGTGACTGCTTCCACATAGTAAACAAGTCAGAAATCTAGCATTTTTGTGATTAGGCAGTGTGTCTACCAGAAAGCAAAAGATAGCAGTAAAGACAAAGAGTTCATGATATTTCTAACTCAGATCTTATTTCATACAAAAAAAAATGTGACACAGCCCATTTGATTACACTGTAAATGGCAATGGATACAAAGCCTGTCATTATATTGCAGGTGGCAGAGTTGTGGCTAAAAAAGCATTTGATACACCAGCCCTTTCCTGCTGTAGAATCAGTAACAAATTCTATGATAATTCATGATTTCAGTAGGTTTGATTTTGACAGAGTTAAAATAATCTGTGAGAGGCATTTCAGGGCTTTCCCTTTACAGCATGCAGAGAGGAAAGGCAATCTGGCCACGTGAGATCTCCTACTGCATTACCAGCTCACTTTGTTTCCTCACTGTGCACTGAGAATGAACAGCTGGAGGAAGACAAAGCTGTGCAATCCAGGTTCCTGATTGGGGGGAGAGATTTCAAGGGCGCTTGCAAATCACCTGCTTATTGAGCATGCATCCGGATTTGTTTTAGGGGAGGTCAGATGACGTTGTGACAGAGCAAGTGTTATCCCACACTTTCCAGTGCATTTTCCATCCCTTTCCTTATCACAAAAGTCCAGTCTTTTGGGGAAGCGAGTTTCTGTCACAAGAATTCCCAATCAACTATAACTGCACATCCTGAATTCGCCAATATGTGATTGACTCCCACTCAAAAATAGCAACAGTAAATATGCCCAAATATGACTATTCAGGTGTTCAAAGAACATAAAGTGCAGAGGAGTTTAGCAGTTAAATCTTTCTTCCCAGGGAACTCTGAGAATTTTAGCTCTGTGAGGGGAATAGCAGTCTCCTTCAACACCCATAACAATACTTCTCAAGATTATTTGCAGGAAGCCAAGACTGTTTAAAGTCCTAGGACGCTGCTTTAAATGTACAGTGCAGGTAGGGTTATAGATTCTTCATGTAATTTAGAACCCTGATTACACAGGGTTCTAAATCCCAAAGAAAGCCCATGTGTGCAAGGCAAGTTCCCTGCTTCAGACCTTCCAGAACTTAAGTTTCCATTCCCTTCTCCCCCCCAAAATGAAGCCACTTTGGCAAGCACTTAGCAGCAGTCCTCTTAAGCTTTGCAGCTGCTTCCTCCTCCTTTCTAGTTTTAGGCTCTGTTTGGAATCATCTTCTGTGTTGTGGGTCATGCTGACGTATCATTTGGACTAATAGTGTAAGAAGTTGCAGTGGATTCCCCGCCGCCCCTGCTGCAGCCAGTGATAAATGTTTCAATGCTTCAAAATTTGTAGCAATAATTATTTTATAAAGAAGAGAGATGTAATGGCCTCAGGATCAGACTCTCCAAGTTCAGGAAATAGTGCCATGGATTTCTAGATGATGGGGCAGAGGAGGAAACTATGACTCCAACAAAGTCTCCTTTTCCAGAAGCCTGGAAGTTGCACTTTCATTGTCCAACAAAGTCTGAGGAACGTGCCTAGGCCATCTCTTAACAATGCCCCTGGTGCAGAGAGCGAGCGTCTGATCTAAAAGACTCTCCAGTGTGCCTGATACAAGTTTAAATAATGAACCCCCAATCTCTGTGTGGTGTGATTTTTTGGGGGGAGGTGCACCATGTTCCTGGTTATACATGGTTTTATTTACACATATAAACTGACTGAGCATAATATGGATGGGTTCACAGCATTAGCACTCCAGCAGATCTTGCTCCCCCACTGGATTTTGGGTGGGAGGTTCCAAAACCATAGCTCTGGACCAATGTCATAGCAAGTGGGGATTTGAACCCTGGTCTCCCAGGTCCTAGCCCAACACTCTAACCACTATTCCACACTGAGCATTTTTGTACATTCACCAATCATATCATCTCTACATGACATCGTCTCCCACTGTTAGAGTTACCCAATGAGTTTTGACTACAGTGGTAACTCGGATTACATACACTTCAGGTTATATACACTTCAGGTTACAGACTCCGCTAACCCAAAAATAGTACCTTGGGTTAAGAACTTTGCTTCAGGATGAGAACAGAAATCATGCTCCGGCGGCACAGCGGTAGCAGGAGGCCCCATTAGCGAAAGTGGTGCTTCCGGTTAAGAACAGTTTCAGGTTAAGAACGGACATTTGGAACGAATTAAGTACTTAACCCGAGGTACCACTGTATATGTGATTTTGGCTTTAGGCGTGATCCCCAGAATGTAAACCCTGTGGAAGTTGAAATCTATTAGACTTTTGAGTAGACATACATAGTAGTGCAGTTAGATTTTCTTTTGCCAAAGGCACAGCTGTACTCTCTAGGGGCACAACATACAAATTGTGATGAAAATAATACAGAATTGGAATGGTGTTTGTAAAAATCTCAGACTGTGGGTGTATTCCTGTAGTTCAAGAACTATAGCTAATCTCTGGTCCCAGCTATGCTTTTGTTAAGTATATTTTAAGGGGTGGAAACCTCCCGTAGACTTGGTGTTTTCTGCTAGGTTCACGGAAGGACATATCTCAGTTTCATTTTTCATTAATTCTAAGCTTTTAGATAGTTCTCATCCCCCCGTGATCTGAAAACCTTATTTTAGAAAATAGTAGAATCAAGGAAAAACATTGTATAAGCTGAATTCATTATAATGCACAACTGCTGGGGCACACTTTTTATATAAAGTGGTTTAGTATACTCTTTGTAGGCATTTACCTCACATGAAAGTTTCTATGTTTGTCCAAATATCAAATGATGGTTGTGTTTCAGTTCTTGATTTTTTACAGAAAGTGTAAATTATGTATCATATTTTTCCATGTATAAGACTTGGGCTTTTTACCAAAAAAAATATGGTTTAAAATTGGGGCTCGTCTTATACACGGGTAGTGCTAAGGGGTGTTTTCTTAATTTGGAGTCCCCCCAAATAGGGGGGGGGTGTCTTATACATGGGAGCGTCTTATACACGGAAAAATACAGTATGTTCCCTTTAAAATGCAAACTGAATTTAATTTTCCCCAGGAATGATAGCCAGTCACCAACCAAAGCCACTGGTGCTGCAGCACCAAGATACATGCTGCACTCAGGTGGCCATAACAGACATTATGGGATCGTGACGTATTAGGTGGCGAAGCTTCCTGAGAGCTTCAGCTTTCAGCAACTGCCCATTAATATTACAACTGCCTGATGGTAGTGACCCCTGGTTCCAGGCCTGGCTTTAATAAATGGTTGTTACGCTAGGAATAACAGTGGATCTATTACTTTTTATTCTCTCCATTTCTGATATTCTTGCATGGGTGCCAATGTTTATGTAGCCAAAATGGCACCATCTACACAAAAGAGGGTGGTATCAAGTGGCTCAGTGAAACTTCAGGATTTTCAGAAATGCCACAAATATTTAGGGGGGAACCCTCCCTCCATACAACCTACAAAGGGTGCTCAGGCCACAGAATGCTGAGCAAGTTTTGGGTGGAAGATGGCATAGAGTATGACTGCTACATTTTGTTGCAGCTTCCACTTCTGGCTACTGCTTACAATAGCTGTGCTGTCTTAACTAAAGCTTATAACTCAAGATACAGAGTTTGTGTCCATATAAGGATTAAAATTACAAATCAGTCATTAAAGCTTTTTGGCATAAGGCAGATTTAAAAAAAATACAAGACTGGTAATAATGAACAAAGACCTACAGAACCATGTGTCAAGGAAATTTAAATATAATAGTATGAACAGCATGTTTGGAGTAATTAAACATTGGTTAATGAATTTAATAATTCAGAGCTCTTATATAAAGCTGATCAATAAAGGGGGTAATTAAACCCATAGCATATTGCATATATTAAGAGTTCCTGTTATGGTTGCCATAGAAACCTTAACTTTGAGTTCTCTTCCATTTGCAGGTTTAAATTTTTAGCCTCAGTGTTGCATTAACATACTATTTTTTTGCATTGAATAAATTTGCCAATAGAGGATTATTAAGGAGCTTGACGTTTCTAAAGTGTCTAACCCTGTAGTTAATCTGCACATCAACATTTTAAATCACAAAAGTATTAATACTCAGCTCACAGAACATTCAAGATGTTCTGCCTTTGATGTGCTTATGCAAAGTTGGTCGCCATTTTAAGGCTTCAGTTGCACCAGCTTCCTGAAAAAGCTTCCCCCTTTCCAACTACATGTGTGTTAGGAAAAGGTGCAAACTTAAAATCACTACAGCTTAAGGTAGGTGGGGTGGGTAGGTGAATAAATAATCATTGACTACAAAAAACACACCCTGCAATACAAGAAATCCATGCACATTTTATTAGCCCCATCCTCCAGAGCAGGGTTGCCAACCTGGTGCCCTCCAGATGTCGTCACACTTCAGCTCCCATCAGCAAGCATGGTGAGGAATGAAGGGAGCTCTAGCCCAAAACCTTCTGCAGGGGAACACATTTGCTACTCCTAATCTAAACTAATATCCTGGACCAAAACCCGAGTGTTCTTTATGACTGAGGAATCCTCAGCAATATCAATGGGTTTGGGGAAATAGGATCTTATTGACAGGAGGAGGGCCTCGAAAGGGTTCCTTGGCTCTGCCATACCTTCTAGCACTGATCAAAGAAGGGCTTAATTGAACCTTAGATACCTGACTCTGCCACTAATGAATCCCTACCAATTATCAAGGAGGTGGAGCTAGGACTCCTGCTCAGTTCTAGGGGGATACCATGTCTCTGAGGGTCAGCAGGCAAATCAACCAGATGTGCCTGAGACGGCATGGTAGAGGCTGTGCAGAGAAGTGCCCAGGCACACTGTCTATTTAAGGAAAACTTTCAGGAGATCCAATCTGCTGGGTGTAAGGCCAGTCTTTTGCAGAGGTTTCAGTGTGATCCAGTTCTTTGAAGACTTGCAGCATCAACCTTTAAATGAACGCTTAGGGAAATTGAAGACAACAGTAAAGTAATGATAGTCTAATCTTTAGTCTGATCTTATATTGTGTGTGATATGCACAGAAGGATACTGAAAGTCGCATTCCAATTTTCGCCTATTAATTTTTTAGGCTTTAAAATAAAGTTAGGTTGTCATTTAGAACCTTTGTTATTTTCTTGTCGGGCTCTGTTATTGCCCTGTTTCTTAAAAGTCCATTTTAGAATTGCATTTTTGGTACTATTAAAGGCCTATATTGCCTTTTCAGAGGGATGTTTTTTCACTGGAAAAGAAAATTTCCTTTACTGCTAGCTAAGCTGATCTTTTGGCTTTCTTCCCAGAATGAACTTCAAAGTACTTCATATGGGTATTATATTTTGAAAACTACAATTTTCTCTGTGGAAACTGAACGAAATTAAACCCAATTAATGTAATTTATGTCTGTGCTGCCAGAAGAGAGTATTCAATACGTTTGGTTTACTAGGTCATATTGGTCCCTCTGATATATCATATAAATTAAATTATATGCAAAAATATCAAAAACGTCTTGTTGCAAACTGGCAACAAGAAAGAAGGGTCATGTTCAGGCTATGCGCATTTACTTGGGAGTAAGCCCCATTAAACCTTAATGCAGTGCCATTTGAATGTAAGTGCAGACCTGCTGGATCAGAACAAAGGTCCATCTCAGCCAGGATTCTCTTTCCAACAGCAGCTAGCCAGGTGGTTCCCAGAAGCCAACATTTAGGGTATAAAGGGAATAGCCTTTCTCCATTCCTCACCTTGAGCCACTAACATTGAGCTATGGTTACAGTTTCTCTGAACCTGGAGATTCCATTTAGTCATCATGGCTAAGAGTACTCAATTGACTGATCCTCCATGAATTTGTCTAATCCCAGTGACCCTTACCATATCTTAGGGCACTGAACTACGCATCGTGTGAATAAGTTATTTTGTCTGTCCTTAATTGATATCAAGTCAATTATATGTCCCCAAGTTCTATCACAGAAAAAAATACCTCCATCTACTTCTCCAACACCATGCATAATTAAAAAAAACTGTTATCATATCTCCCCCACCTTAACTGTCCCTTTTCTGAGCTAAAGGTGACTACATAAGGTGCTCCAACCCCTTATTTTCATATCTCACTGTAATATCTCTCTTTGAAATGGAATGACTAGAACTGTACACACTATTCCACACCAATAATGTGATACTGCTTGTTTTACTCCATCCCTTTTCTAATAAATACTGTGTGACTACTGCTGTGCACTGAGTTGACCATTTCATTGAACTGCCCACAGTGATCCCAAGTTAGCTTCCTATTTAGTTAACAGCCAGTTCAGATTTTATCACTGTGAAGCTGGGATTCTTTTTTGCCCCAATATGCATTGTATTGTATTTATTTATGCTGAACACTTGATTTGGCTGCTGTCCCAGAAGGAAGGCTGAATCTTCAACCATTTTGTTGTTGCTTTTGGCAGAAAGGATAAAAAGGACCTAGTTATTGCCAGTTCAGCCTGGAAATAAGTAGGTATTGTGTACCATAGTTAACTGGCAACAGCTACGTACTTATTACCTTTTATATCCTGACTTGGCAATGTAGTTGGCCAGGCCTTTGTAATAAATATTCAAGGCAGCTAGCAAAACAACCCCCCCCCAAAAAAAACCAACAACCCCTGAAAGCAATACAGAATAATAAAAACAGTGAAGATATTAGTAAAATCACAGAGAAATCTACAACTAAAAGACAATAGCATCATAAAAGGCATAAAACATAATATTCAGGGAAAAAAAAAAACCTTTAGAACAAATATGTGCAGCCAATCATATACAGAAATTAGGGGAATATACCACAATCTCTCACAAGACTGTTAGTCAAAAATGCAAACATAAACTGGAATTTTAAGGAACACATTATAAGTGCTATGGATTTTGCTGTTCTGTGAATTTCTGTGAATAGGACTGTTTCTGTGTTTTTGCTTTATGATACCAGATGTCTTGGACTTGACAAAGGAGTGCGAATAGCCCAGAACAGGTGATGTATACTCATGGAAAGATGTGTCCCTATGGAAGGAAGCTAAGGTTAGAAAATGACTTCTTGATACATGACCACTGGGATATTCAGAAAAGGGATTAGGGGGCATACACTTCCCAACTCCACATAAGGATGGTGTAATCTAGTTCTGTGTCATTGTGCAAAGGCACAAGAGATAGACTGCAGTTTTGGTAGTTAAGAGAGTTTTGGGGGCTCGGCAAGCTAACAGTACCAGAGAGTGAGGGAGGGACACCCTTTAGAGATTAAAGACTGATTGCCTACCTGCTTCTCCTCACCTGTAATTGATGTCTATTCACATTATACGGCCGATTTATTCATCTATCTTATTTCACCTTTACATTTTAAGTGTCCAAAGCAGTGTGCAGTGGTACCTCGGGTTAAATACTTAATTCATTTCGGAGATCCGTACTTAACCTGAAACTATTCTTAACCTGAAGCATCACTTTAGCTAATGGGGCCTCCTGCTGCTGCTGTGCCGCCGGAGCACGATTTCTGTTCTCATCCTGAAGCAAAGTTCTTAACCTGAAGCAATATTTCTGGGTTAGCGGAGTCTCTAACCTGAAGCGTATGTAACCTGAGGTACCACTGTACATCATCAGTCACAATATAAAACGTTTGAAGAAGTCAGAAGCTAGCAAACAAGAAGCATAGCTGGTAAAATACACTTCCTGAGAAGTTATCGGCTGTTATGGCCCTTTAGGTGAGGAGAAACCCTAATAATTCAGAGGGACTTACTTCAAAGTAAATATGTATTGGGCTGGCTCAAGGCAGTCGTGCTCGAAAGCAGCCCCCCTGACATTAATGTAGTTTAAGCATCCATTGCCTTCAGCCGGTCTACTCTACACTTGACTTGATTCGCCTTCGTGTTTCTTAGCCAAGCTGAGGAATTTTAGCATGCAAAATGGGTGAATCTTCCACGGAGCCAACTCTCCCGCTGCCTTTGAGAAACCCTCACACACATTACTGGGTAACATGTTCTTTTCAATACCATGCCTTGCCATTTAATTCCGAAATAAGGTTTCACTCTCCAGGAAGCACCCTGGATCACGTCGAGTTCTCAACCCTGGCCTGGCGCTATGCAATACCAAGCCAATTCCAGGCGGTTAGTCGCGCTTAAACTCGGCTGCGGCGCATGCGCAGAGTGGGACCGGAGCCACTACTATGAAGAGGAACGCCGCGGAGCGGAGAGAGCGGCGACGGAAGGGCGCTCGCGACGTCTTCGAACACCTTCGCTCCCGCTCTGGCTGGTTCTGGATCCGGGGCAGAACGAGGCCTCAGCCATAGAGATGGCCTGGTGCAAGCGCTTCCGGGTTACTTCCGGAAGATCCCGCCTCTCCCTTCCCTTTCTCTCTAGAGAGGAGGAAGGGAAGAAAACAGAGCCGAGTCCGCTGGCTTCGGAGCGCGCTGGGCCTTGCCCAGTCAGCTGCCTCTCCCGCACCGGAGTAAGTTGAAGGAACGGATACCATTCGGGGGGCGGAGACTTTTTTTTGGGGGGGGAACGGTTTCTACGTGGCCGTTCGCACATTTCCCCCTCAAGATTCTCGCTTGGAAGCGAGCGGGGCGCCAGATCCAGCGGGTGTGTGAGGGAAGGGAGGGGTCGTTTCTCAGATACCCGAGGTGCTGGGGGGAGCGGGAGCGGCTGGGCCTGAGGTACTTGTTCATGGGGGGAGGTGTTAGAAACTCTGGGGAGAGACAGGGTGGTAGACTTGAGGGAGGCTCCCGGCGGTCACGAGTGCCTTGCGGGGGTTCTGGTGGGGCCCGAAGGCCTGGCCGATGCTCCGGGTACGGATTACCGATAAGGAACAACAGCTCTTGTGACGTCAGTGGTGTTCGGGGTGTGTGTGCTGCTTTCTCTGTAGCTTATCGGCCACCAGAAAGTTGCCTCGCTCGCGCCGGCGATGCCCGCGTGGACTCGCATGTGCTGCCAAATCCTTCGAACACAGGCAGAAAGAGCTTCTTCCCAAGGCCGCGCTGAACGGTTGCTCGGTTTCATTAAAAAATAAAATAGAATGTGATGATTCCGTTCTGTATCTGGTGGGCCACTTACGACAGGCAAGGTTCTACCCGAGAGCAAGCTCGTTCACGATTACTGTACAGGGGAAATGCTTTATCCGTGGGGCATGGTCTGCACACAGTGGTGGGGATGTTTTAAGGTCACCAAAGTGGCTGTCAGTAGAATTTGGTGACTGGCACACAAAAATCAGTGATGGCTGTTTAGAGAGAGAGCGAGAGGCTGTTTAAAAAGATTGGCCTTCTTGGAAAAATTGTGTAGCAAGCTATCTTGGAAGGGAACACACAGATGCTTATATGTACGCTGGTACTAGTAGCCTAAAACGAGGACACCGTTAAGGTAGGCATATGGAGATCGGTGAAATCAGTGGGGCATGTTTATTGTTTAATGTGGTTAGGTATGGAAATGACAGGGAATCGTAGAAGAACAGCTTTGCTGGATCAGAACAAACAGGTAGCATCATGTTTCCAACCACAGTGGTTAGCCAGATGCCTGTAGGAATCCCTGTAGGGCAGAGTCATTTAGGAAATGTAGAAATTTTTCCTTTTCATCATGATCCAAACATGTATTTATCAGTGTGTGTTAGGGTAATTGAAGTTGCCCATTACTATGCTTTCTTCATCAGATACCTTCTTTACTTCATTCCTTATCTCCAGATCACTCTGAGTGCTTTGAACAGGGAGATGATAATTTGTGCCCTGTATTAAATTGCTTTTGGGCCCTGATTTAAACATATAGGAGAACAAGCCTTGTTGAAGATGAATCAAAATGGGAGGTTACCTGCGGACAGTAACTCCTACACCAGCAGCCTTTTGGGGTTTGAGTAGGGGTGATCTAACCCAGTTCATCTTGAAAGGCTCCTGAATAAATGTAGGAATAAATGGGAACTTCTCACAGTGGAGGCTAAAAAATCCATACTAGAACTGGTAATTTCTAACTTTTTTCTTAAGTGATCTAGAGTAATGGATGAGCAGTTGACTAGATTTGCGGATGACACCAAGTTGTTCAGGAACACGAGGAAATTGCTAAGAAGTCTAATGAGGTGAATGAGCAACAAAATAGAAAATAACATTTAGTTATGAATAAATTGGTGCCTGTTAGTGCAAAAAATCTTAACCATGTTCACGTACATACTGACTTTCTCTGAACTGCTAGCAGCTGGTCACCTGGTGAAATTGAGTGGCAGTAGATTGAGGATGAGTAAAATAACATTTTACTTCCCACCTCACATAATTGTGTGTGAAAATTTGCCACAAGTTTAGATGGCTTTAAAGGGGGATTAGACAGATTCATGAAGGACAACTCGTATTAATGGTTCTTAACCATAATGGCGAAATGGGGCCTGCTGTCTTGTGGGCTCTGTTTATGCAAATATAGACAGATTGGCAAGTGGAAAAGTGGGTCTTACACTCAGATCTGTGGAGTTAGAAGGGGCCAGCAGGGTTATGTAGTTAAGCCTCCTGCAATGCAGGAATCTTTTGCCCAATGTGGGGCATGTATCCAAGACTTGTGATAGTAACAGTCTCGTGCAACTGGATTCAGCATATTCTTTTATTTATAAAATTTGGAGGTTTCATTGGATTCTAAACAAGTTTAATTTTTGAAGGGGAAAATCCCACTTGGATCGTTGTTTGGCACATTATTTTATTGGCATATTGTTTTATTAAGTTGGGAGATGTCATTAGAATCTATAGAAGTTTTAAATTCTGAAGGAAAAAGAATGAATTTACTCTTATAGAGCAGTTGGCTCCTACTCCTTTCTTCAAAAGTGGGATCTTGTTTATAGAGGAAAACATATAAACGTTTTTAAAATTATTTTCATGATTGATTAGTCTTTATTTGCTTGTAGAGTAGTTGTGGGTGCTGTTTATGAACATTGGGCATTTCAAGGTAAGGTATCTGGTCTGCTTAGGCCTTAACCCCCCCCCCCTTTTAAAGATCATGAATTGGAAATATTAAGAGTGCCTACCTTGCTTTCCCAATGCATCTGGAAAATAATAAATACAAATTTTGATGTGTCTGTGCTTGTGAATATTTAAGGGAAATTACATTGTAACAACACGTTATTGCCAAACATCACTCGGAAGTTATCAGCTTGTAGTAATGGCTAATATATGTAAACCTTATGACTTACTTTAGTTGCCTGGTTTCAGTTTTTTCTTTTTTAAATAATAGGTAGAAGAATACATGTTTACTTTCAGCATAGAAGAGCATGTTCCCAAATTCTTCCAACTTGGGTCATCCACCCTTCCCACTAGAACATCAACAATACAACTTCTTCATTAATCTTCCAGTGAACATACCTCCTGTTCTCTTTCACCAGCAATTCCAGAGTACAACGTAAGTATGGTAGAATTTTATTCTGAAATTTGCTGCCAGAAACAAATCTTGGATTTTTAAAAAGCCTACTTGCAGTGTTAACATTATCACGTAAACAGCCACAGAGAAGCAATTTAATGTCCATTTGAGCTTTAGGTTTGCAGTGAAAATAAAGTTTGAGTAATAAACTTGAGTAGTTTGTATTTAATCACAGCACTGAATGGTATCATGCATGTTCACTTTATTACTTAAGTAGTTATTGTCTGAATGTTTAAATTTAAATTCAAAATACTGGCATGAATAATCATACTGCATTTTAATCTTCCTAGAACTCCAGTAAGTGGTAATCTTCTGACCATCCCACCTGTTTCACCTCCACCTTTTGCCTATAGAAATGGCAGCCCAGTGCACACACCAGCTGCACCTGCATCATTCCGAGGCAGAAAGTAAGTGCATTCTGTGGTTCTCTTCCATGTTACGTTCCCTTAGAATAAAGCACTATAAAATAATATAAATATAATACTGAAGTGGCCCTATTAAAGGTGTTACTCTTTGAGACATTTTATGACATTTTGCCCACATTTTGTTTATTATGATGCCTATCTTGTTAGATGCTGACACACTCTCAAAATGGGAAGTCTGGAGTCATTTCCCACCCAGCTGTATTTCTCCACTGTTCTCAAGGGTGCATATTGCTATGTTTTTGTGGCACTGTTCATGCTTTTTTTTCTATTTGCAACCACAGAAAAGCTAGGGAGTGACTATTCCCTTCCCATACCCACAAGGGAAAATGGCTGTGAACACATCTGTTGTAGCTTTGGTAACTTTACTGAAAACAATGGAGTCATACCATATACAGATAAACAGAAGAGACCCTGGCATTTTTAGGTGTTGGTCCCTGAATCTTTACTGGTATTTTACAAGTTAATAATATTTTCAAGACCAGAAGCAGTATGATGGACTGGATAGGCTTTTGGTCTGGTCCAGAAAGGCTGCTCTTATGAGAATGTGTGAACCAGATTTACTGCTGTACTGATAAGGGTGAAGTGTGTGAGGAATAAGAACTGGCCAGGATCTTGAGTCATCATCGCCCCCCATGGACTACTTCCTCTTCCTTCCCACTTTTATCACAGGGCACACATTGCACACAACTTCTCACTGTAGTACTCTCTTCAGATTCAGAACTTCTCTCTTGAATAGGAAGTATTTCACAAAAACACAACTGTATTTGCTGTGCATAAGAATGGCTTGGCAATTTGATCTATCATTGTCTTTCTATGGGACACAAATTGAGCACCTGCACATTCTTTTGAGTTCCCTGTTTTAAGACTTTATTTGCATCATATCAAAGTTGGGCATTCCTCTTTAAAAATAATACACAGTCTTGCTAGAATATTCACAGTGATTAATTGGTAGCATTGACAGTTCAGCCTCCCCCCCCCCCGCTTGCATATTTAAGTACTGAAACTGGAATAGTCAAACCCCTCTTACATTTTTAGGAGGCTGAAAGATCAGGATGTTCCTTATCAAGTGAAGCGCCAGCGATTTCATTCACCTCATCATGAATCTGCTTCAGCTAACCAAGTAGTGCCTTTACCAGAAGATCACAGGCGGTCATTCCCTGGATCAATTCCTTCGCCATTATTTCCAGCACATTACATCTCTGATTTGACGGGATGTGTGCCACCCTTACAAGAAGCTTCATTTCCTGACCTTATAGAAACTGCACTCCCTGTGGCCAAAGATAAGGTAAAATTGAGAATGGGTGCTCTTTTCCTTTCTATAAAGTTTTCTGTGCAAGACAGTGGCTCCCAAATCCTGGGCTGCAAGAGGAGCTGAAGGGTATCTTAAAGAGCCAATGTGTTGGAAACATTTACACAGTCTTAGAGCAAGGATGACTCTTT